CAATCACCTACATGTGTTTTAAATATCCCTAAGGATAATATTGATGAAATGCTGATGACAATGATAGCTAACAATTACTGAATGCTCTATCCCAGGTATTGATATGAGTACTCTATAGATAATAACTCATTTAATTCTCACAAGGCACTGCTCTTGTTTCCATGTTGTTACTGAAAAGGCTGAAGCATAGAGAGGGTAAACAATTTGTCAATGTTAGATGTCACTGATCTGCTCTGAAGAGACAGAGCTGGGGCTTGTGTGATCTTGCTCTGGAGCCTGGATGTCCCATGTTGATACTCTTCTGATCCAGATCCACTTTTCCAACCCCATTGTTAGACAAGCCCCTAGGGCTTGTCAGTTTTTGGCAATCCTCCTTCAGTTTTGAGGCACTCAGGCTTTTATACAATTTTGGAACTCAGGGCTTGGAGAGATCTGGAACCCAGAGGCCCTGCAGCTTGTTGTGTCTTTGCCCACATTTCCACATCCTTTCAAGGCCAAGATCCAGTGCTGTCTCTTCCAAAAGGCCTTCCTTGCTTTCCTCAGCTTGCATTTCTTCTTCCAGCTCTGTTAATGAAATTCCTTGTCTCTTAGGGCTTACGCACCACTTTCGGTCTTTTATAAGCCTCACTGATATCCATGTCTTTTCACTAGATTTTAATTCTCTAATTTCAAGGGTCACTTCTAGTTCAACTTCTACAGTGTCTTGTGTTTATATTTTTAAATTTGTTAGAATTTGCAAAATCATAAAGAAGCATGCATAATATTAGAATTTAAAAATTCTTATTTTACCAAACAAGTGTGATCCATCCCGCGGATCAGTCCATGGGCCTTCTCGGGCCTTCACCTAGAGAGGGGATGGAGATAGGGGCTGGGCAAGAGAAAAGAGAGACGGAGACAGGATGAGATTCCAATCGAGTCTTGTTTAGGCTTAAAATGGCTACAACTTATATAGGGTGGAGGTGGGCCAATGGGGCAGGAAGAGGGCACTGAGTGTTATCTGATAGGTCATCCTCACATCAGGATATATGACGTAAGCAGGAGAGGATTATGGGTAGTGTAGGCAGACATGAGGTTCATGGGAAATGTAGGCTGAAGTGGGAAGTTGCTTATATCATGCGCATTGTAGGCAAGGGGAGGATCATGGGAAATGTAGGCTGACACACAAAATGCCCTCAGGTGGGAGGGGCAGGGCAGCAGCAGCCATTCTGAGCTGCTCCCTACACAAGTGTATTTTAAAAAATTAGCAAAATGGAGGTTTTCATGTGTCACATTTGATTAATAATAATAGTAACAGCAATAATCAGTATTTATTTAGTACTTATTGCATTTCAATATTTTAAATTAACTAATTTAATATCTGAACAAATGTTTGCGGTTGGTACTATTAAATCACCTTTTTACAAAAAAAAATCAGTCTTATATAGGCTGAAATATATCACATCAATTCAAAGAGAAAGTGTTTGGGTCAGGACTTGACCCCTTCTGTACCTGATTCCCCAGAACTCTGAATGCTCATCACTGTTGATGACTCTCAGCAGTGTGAAGGAAAGATCAGAGAGGTGGAATTCTGGAATAACATTAAGATGGGCTGGCTCTGGCAAATCTGATTCTAGTCCTTCCTTCCTTCTTTTTCCTTTCATCCTTTCTTTTTCCTTATTCCCTCCCTTCCTTTCTTCCATATCCTTCATTCCTTCCTTCCTTTTTGATACTGGGGGTCGAACTCATGACTTCATGCTTGCCAGGCAGACACTTGTGCTGCTGAGCTAAATCCCCAACCCCCAGTTCTGGTTCTTAAATTAATTTTGTGGACTTTAGATTGGCCTTCAGCATCCTGAGGTCCCCTTTGTCCATAGGGCTGGAGTGGGGTTTGAGTGGTGAACCAGTTACTATCCAAAATCTCCACCAGTTATAAAGTCTATGATTCTCAGAAGCCAGAGCTGCTTCTCTGATGTTTACCAAAAGTTACATATGGCATGTGTCAAGAGCTGTGAAAATTTTACTTAATACTCTGTGTTTATTTTCTTCAACATACAGGTGAAATATTTTTATATTTTCCCAGTACATTTCTCAGTAATAACATAGCCAATAAAAATATTTTTGCTCATGTAGAGGAGCACTAGCTCTTAGCCAAAGAAAAAGTACACTGTTACATACTGGTTGAGGGGGGAAAAAAAGAGCTTCATTTGTTATCAAGAAGGAGCAGGAAATATAGGCATAGTTATACAGCCCTTTACCTAATTTGACTTAATTCGGTGACTTTAAGTTTTCAGAGGATATGAAATGTTCTGAATGCACACACAGGAGGCAAAAATATTGCTTGCAAGTACCTACATTCGTGATATTAATCTCTCTCTCAATGATCTAATATAAATAGCTGCTTGAAAGCAATTTCATTGAAATATTTTCAGAAATGTTGAAATGAAAATATTAATCTTTTGGATGTGTCGTGTTGGATTACTTCCTTTCCCCTCAGGAAGATAAATTGGGGAAACCAAATGGCCAAGAAGATGCAAAACCAAAAAGTAAAGCTGTCAGCCTCTAACCAGAAATGTGCATCCCTTCTTAGCTTTTTCCTTTCCTCCTTCCTTCTTTTTTCTCTCCTTATTCTTCCCATTCATTCTTCGTCCCTTCTTTTCTTTTCTTTCCCTTCTTTCCTCGCTTGTTCCTGTACCTACGTCTCTCTTTCCTTCCTCCTTTTCTTTTCTCTCTCCTACTTTCTCTCCCTTAATAGATACAGTTGGGAAACAGTGCTAATAAAGGCACTGTCCTAACGATGGGACTAGAAGACCATGTTTCATGGAGACCGTCTACTAGGAATTTTCCTCAGAGGTGGGCTGGGTTTCTTGGGGAAGGTCCAAGTGTGACAAAAATGTTATTGGGTCAAAAACATTCACTTTAGACTGGTGTCTGATCATCAGGTCTTTTCCTTGCATCCTGATACTTGTACACTCTACTCCTCTATTTTAGGGCACTTTCTTAAGGAAAGGATGTTCTCATATCACAAATCAATAAATCAATTAGATAATAAAAGAGCTGATTTAGTATTTCAAGTACTTGTATATATGTTCCCATATGCAACTGAATGCAACTGAAGTGACTCCATAGCAGTATAATTGAGACTGGAAGTTGTACAAAATTTTTTGTCTCATAGTCATAGCTATATAACTTCTTTGGAATATAAACAAAAGACAGTTCCACCTCATAGATGGTTAAAACTCTTTAATGACTTATTACTTTGCATAAAATAAAATGTAATGTGGTATACATGGTTCAGTATGATCTACCTTAGTTTTATCTTGTCTTCTTTATATTTTGGATATGCCAGAGTCTTTTCTAATTTAGTATTCTTATGCAAAACTGTTGATTTCTTTTTTTGACATGGTATTACAGTCTCTATGTTTATGTACTTGTCGTTTTTGACTCTTCCACAAAATGTGAATGCTCTGAGAGATCTTTTGTCATTTATTTGCATTATATCCACAGAATCTAACATTAAGGGCTTGATACATATTTGCGGGAAAACAAATAAATGAACAAATGAAGGAGTATTTTAATCTGAAACTTACAAAAAATGAAACAATCTTCTAAAACATGGAATAAAGCTTATACATATAAATTCGAGTACCATGGTACAGTGTAAATTGCAGCTTGATCACTTACAAACTATGTGATTTTGGGAGAAATTATTTCATCTACCTGGGTCTCAATTTCTGGAGAATGAACATAACAATTGATATCCACAAACACTTGCTATGATTATTAAACAATGTGAAACGTTTAAAACACTTAATTAGTAAATGTTAAAGAATGTTCAAGAAGTCTCAAAGATTTTCAAAATGCTGGAAACCCATAGGATTATCTTAGAGAATTTTTGTTGTGTGTATTTAAGATGTACAAATGATATTTTGATGTAGGTGTAGATGTAGAAATCATTAAATGCTAGTGAATGTTTGAAAGTAGTTTGTGTGTTGCTCTTTACTCAGTGCATGACCCTGAAGGCTTTTAGCCACTCTGAGGTCTGTGAACACCACAGTACTCCTTCCTCTTATGTCTGGTCAATGGTGATCCACATGGTCTAGAAACCACGGAAGGCCATTATCATGAGTTCCATGATCAGCTGGATCTCACTGGCAGTGTTTTACTACAATGTAGAGGTAAAAGGAAATAATAGCAAATAACTCAGCTAAGGTCTGCCCATCTACCAGCCTCTGTAGCATCAGGAACTTTCAAGGGAGAAATGACAAGACACTGATATTTTTTAGATTTCATACTGGAATTTGATTATGAATCATGGTTTATAAAAGGCTGAAAGTGATCCATCAGTTCATCTTTGCGGATAGATGAGCAATCTCTTGTTTCCTTGGAAACTCAGACCTGAGCATATGTAGCTCACAACGCATGCCCTCATATTTTCAATTGAGCAGATCCAGGATGAGTTTCTCCCAAGGGATTCAATATGTTGCTTTAAAAAGAAGAATCAAGAATAAGAGAGAATTGTCACACTCGAATCAGACACTACAGACCTGGCTGGCTCTCAAAAGACACAACAATTCCACAAACATGAGACAGATACTTTCATAGTCTGTCCTTTGTTGTTTTAGCAGTTTCCTTTATTTGATTAATTTCTTTTTCTGAATTTAAAAATAAATGAGTATACATCTTGAAATACTCTTTTGTATGCATGTAGAATGTCTACATTCTAGTGCTTTCTTATTTGGAATCTTTATGAACTAAAAATAAACACTAATATCTTAGTTTTGTATAGCAGCATGTAGATAACATAGATTAATTCTTGTCCTAAGATACTTGTTGGCATCCATGAAGTAATGTTAACACTTTTAAAGAAAATCTTAAATATAGCATAAGCCAATTCCTAAGGTAATCCTATGTAGTACTGGCTCCAGTTTATACTCAGGGCTTGGGATGTACTAGAACTTACAGATTTACCCACAACACATTTAAAATGTCAATTACTTTCAGCTCTTTGTTTTCCTCCTCAGTGTCAGAGTTTCCTAGTTTCCCCAGTCAGCAAAGGAGGAAAGTGATACTCAGAGAAGTTCAAGCAATCTGTCTCCGGCTGCAAAGTTTTTAGTAAGGATACCAGAAACTGAACACGCATCTATCTGATTCCAAAACATGTGTCAGTGACTTAAAACCAACTTCATCTGTTGTGATAAGGCAGAGTGGAAGGTAAGAATGCTGTGTTTAATTAGTACCCTGATTAATAAACTCAAAATGTTAGGAGAAAACAAACCAAGTAAGAGTTTGGCGCGGGGGGGGGCACAAAATGGTATGGCTGTTTTATAAAGTCATTTACCTGTTTTAACTAACTGTTTTAACACTGGAAACTGAAAGACCATATGTAAATCTTATGATAGAAGTTTCCCCTTTTTTCATAAAAAGATGATTTTGAAAGTTCATTTCAATTTTAAGTATAGGAATCTAGTTAACAGAAGCACATCATGAGTGAGATTTAATTTTTGCTGATTCCTAAGATGCTTTAAGACTTTTCAGAGTCCGTGGACATCATCATGATCATCAGTAACGAGTCTCAAGTTGAGAGAGACATACAAAATACTTGGGTAAAAAAGACTAAGCAGGTCAGATTTCTTTTAAGTTTTCAAACTGCTGCCACTCTCCAAAATTTCCTTTAGATTAAGGGTCTGCAAACTTTCCTATAGGGTCAGTTAGTTAATAGTTTGCCTTTCAAATTTTTTTCATTCAGTGTTCTCCATTAGAACTACTTATTCTGCCATTATAAGTTGAAAGTGGCCATAGACAATATATAAACTGATAAGCATACTTATGATCCAAAATAATTACTCATAAAATCATTTGGTGGCACAGATTTGTAATTTTCCAATGCCTGTCCTAGATTAGAGAGCCTGAAAATTCGCTATACATTTCCTTTTCTGGTAGTTATGTAAAGAGCCAAACCTCAAACCTAGTCACAATGGTTTATGATCACCTAAGAGAGTTTTCTTCGGGCACATCATAGGTAATGCCATTAAAAGAGGATAGAACAAGTTGTCTTGCAGCTTATTTCTAGTGTTAAGCCAATTACTTGGAAAAATTTTTTAAATTATCAGATGTGCCTCTGGAAAGTTAACTAGGGCTATCACTTGAGCTGAAGTTTTCTCTGAGGATTAGTTGACACATACACAATGTTCAATATGATGACTATGGCTAAATATTATTTGTGAGTGTAACTACCAGGAATTTAGAGAAAATTATAATCTTTCCTTTTAGTTGCTCATTGAGTAAGAAACTCATCAGAATAATGACTAATATTATGCCTGATGGTGTTCTGTGGAAATAACGTGCAAATAATACAGTGCCTGATTACCTTAGTCTAACTACCTAAGCTCTATCGTGACAGATAGTTTAGAAGTATTGAAAAAAGTATTGATAAAGCACAAGAAAAATGTGAATATTTTTCAAATTTCTGACAGTAAAGAAGAGCATTAAGTTCTTGATTTAAATAGACAGGTCATGGCTATTTAAGTTTCAAGTGCCTGAAACTTTCTCTGCATTTAGCTCATATCAAGTCTATAGAATGGGAACTGAATCCTGCACAAGTCTCTCTGTGGGATATCTTTTTTACTCCTAATTGAGAACATTGTAAAACATTTTTTGTATTCTGTTTTAGAGAAAGAAAACCCATCATTGACTCATTTCTCATCTAAAACTATCTGAAATACAAAAAATGCAGGCCTGCAGCACCCATACAATTCTACAGAGAAAAGATGCTACTGGTGAGTGTCCCTGGAACTGCTACTTATGCACTGTGAAAATATGCATGAGTCATGTGATCCGACATCTTTATTCTGTTTTCATTTTTTAAATTAGTTTAGCAATATGTATATCAAAAGTCACCGTAGTACTTAAGGATACACCGTATCAGGAAGCATTCTACAATATAGATGCAACTATTGTGGTTCTTGATGCTAATTCATTTTAAAACTGAATATCCTAAAAATATTTAGGGGAAAATTAAATAATTCAGTAAAAATCAATTAACTTTCACTTGTCAACAAAAAACAGTTTTTCTGCAATATCACTGTATGAATATCCACTTTATATGCTTTAATTGTATAATTTGGACAACTGTTTCTAAGATGACAATGTGTAACCTATTAACTAGTGATATCTTACTATATATTTTTTTCTTGAAATTTTGTATTATTTGTACCCTGTTACTGCTTTGTTTTTTATTTCCTTTCTTTTTTCTCTTTAAATAAATTTTTTAAAAAAGAAAAAAACCAAAAAAACAGTTTTAATTGAATGAAAAAATAACTAATGAATGAGCTGGATGTTAAGATGGCTACCATTTTGACCAAATAAAGACTCTGTTGCATGGAATTTTTCTGACTATGGTTTTGTAAATTGATGATTGCTGTCTTGACTAGGTATGTGGGACCTTTGAAGTTGTGAATTTAAAAATTACCAACTAGAATGATCTCATTCTATATGTTATCAAGATATATGTATATATAAATATACATATACATTACACATTACATAGATATTATTTTTGTAAATCATATACATAAGTATATATGGATCTATAATGTATATCTATATATGTATAGTATAATAAATTTTTGTGTTTATATAAATACAGTACCCCAGCTTATTATAAATGCAGTATAGGATTTGCATGGTCACTTACATGTTTCTGCATTCTACAAAAGAATCTGCAATGAAAGCCATTAAATAGGACACGACACGTAAGCCTTTCATTAAATAATGATTCTCAGCTGGATTTCTCAGAAGAGAATATTAATGCAACCATATGTAACTAGCATTGCAAGAAATTAGCGTTGCTGATTTGGCTTTGAATCAATCATTTTAAGCTATGTATTAGAGTCTTTGCTGATACATTTTTGTCTCAGACAACTTAGCACAAATTGTGGGCTGAATGCAGCTAGGTTCAGAGCTATAATTTTTAGAGTATAATTCAGAGTATAATTCAGAATATAATTTTTATGAAATGCCACTAGTATTTCAAGTTTTGGGGGTTTGTAGGGAATAATCAAATCCATATGCAGAAAGACAAAATGGTGTTATTCAAGGGCCAATGGCTAATTACTAATTTCTTACATGTATGATTATAGGCTAGGTGATAAATTTCAGATGCCAATCTGAAGTTGGAATTCTGCATGTGGGAGCTGGATTGAGTTAGGGTATGGCTGTGAATATGCTGTAAAATCTTTAGCTCTTCATTTGGTTGCCAAGGTTTGAAAATATTATGAGGCATTTAAAACATTTTCTTGGAAGCAATGTTGTTGGGCCATTTGTATAATATTTGAACCGAGATTGAAACATTTGAGTGTGATGTTTTCCCTGCTTTTTAAAAAAATTAGTTCCAAGAAACTTCTTATAACAAAGATTAAGTCATCACACAATGACAGTCAACTTTTAGCTAAGAGAGACCATGAGAAGAAAGAAAACAGAATTCTAAGTAGAACTATATTAGACAAGTCTTCTGGAGGAAAAATCATGCAAAAATCTTTGCCTGGGCATGGAAGCTTGTGGTCATATCAAAATATAAAAAAGATCTACTTTGGACAGAGCTCTATGGAACTTACACTATGGTTGCATTTGATCATTATTTCTCTTAATTTCCTTTTACTCTGTAAGAAGTCAATTTCAATAAACAGTATATTTTTTTGTTCTGAAAAATGGGTAGGAATAATTGTTGCTTCATGGTGAGGTTTAGTTGGTTTATTTCCTGTATACTAGCGAGATTGAGACTTGTTTAGATTATGCTTCAAATTTGTAGCCAATATGCGCTATAAGTGGTGCCATGTCCTTCCTGTTGTATAATATCAACAAGCACAGAATATCAGATGATTTTAGAAAAACTTCTCAGATGAAGTTGGTTTCTCATTAACTTTTCACCAAGTGATGTTCAGCACCAATGAATAAAATGTGCCTCAATCTATTATTTTATCAGGGGACACCAAAAACCTTGTAAATAAATGATACTACTCTATTAAATGCAGAAAGTGAAGAATAACACAATTCCTGAAAAATAATCAATGGCATTCAACAGGACAGAGCAAGTGACATGATTCAAATGGACAAGCTTTAAAGGACTTTCAACATTGTCATGTGTGCTTCATAAGCAAATTTACCAATGTTAAGCAAAAAGAAAATCTCCAGCTTGGTGAGGTGCCTACGCCTCAACACAAAGTAACTTGCTCAGAAAGATGTGTCAAGCATAGTGTGCGGTTTCCTTTCTGCTCCTTTCTGTGTATGCTAGTGGCATCAGGTAATTTTAGTCTTATTTAAGCTTCAAATAAAAGTCCAAGAAAAATATAGAGATGACTCACATCTTTAAAATAAGTATTATAATTCTTTCAATGCAAGCATTTAGTCCAAACAAGTTGTGAAGGCCAAATTGTGCTACTGTTTCTCAGTAATATTTAGCTCAATAGCGATGGTTTGAATGTCTTTTAAAAAAAGGAACTACCACCAGAAGCAAAATAGAGAAAAGCAGGCTTTTTGAAATCCATATCTGTCATCTCTGCCTATGTCAACTGGAATTCTTCATTTTTAACATACAAAGAAAATGACTTGAATCATTATCCCAAGTTTAGTTCAAAACTAGTAACACACTGCATGCATAGGAGAGAGGTTATTTCGTTGTTTCAAATGGCTGAGTAAGGGCATATTTGACCTTAATTCTCTAAGGGAGTCCTGATGGAGAAAGGCTGCTTCTAAACATTTCAGTGTTTCTATCTGTCAGAAAGGTGCTTACTATCATTTCATAGTCATCTTTGGCTTCACTTTAAAACCTTGCTCACACTAATTAATCAAATAACTCTCATTAAATAAGTGTTGTAGTAAGCCTAGATACAAGTCTATAAAACATGCTCTTTCTCCAGAAAGACAGAGATGGTGGCAACATGTCCTAATGCTATGCTTAGCCAACAGACTCATTATTTTATGTCCAAAAATTATTATATTTTTAGTATTGTTTCTCTTTTTCTTCAAGTAGAGTTTAAATCTCTCCATGTTCCCTTGTCTGCTTCCTGTGCCACGTCCTGTTTATCCTGTGCCTAGATAGGACCTGGCATGTAATGAATATCTAACAAAAATTCACATGAGAAGTTCCAATGAAATACCTCTTGTCTACTCTTTGAATTTCTCATGTGCATGTTACCAAATGTCTCAGATTTTCCTACTTTTCTGTCATTAATGCTTACGGAAACAAATTCTATTTCCTGGTAACTACAGGAAATAGTGTCATTGAATTATTTTGTAGATTCTTAGAAGATCCTTAGCTCTCCCAGACATTGTCACTGGTTACCCTGGACCACCACTGCTTGTAACAACTCAATTGCTGCCACTGACTTTAGGTACCTTGTCTGTAGGCTTCTACTTCTCTCCAGGTAATGGCGCTGTGCTCGCAAGCCTGCCTCAGTGCCCCAGATCAATGTAAAATGTTTACTTTTTACGGTCATTTTGTCTTGGGGAAGAGTCAGAAGTCCTGCAGCAAGAGCTCTGATGAGTCAGGTAGAGGAGACCTTCCAGAACTGGTTCAGACACAGGCAAAAATGATGGGATAACTACGTTCAAAGTGACAGGGAGTATACTGAGGGGGATTAATGGTAATGTGTCTTTTACTGTAACATTTTAAAAAATTGAAACATTCAATGTAGACAGTGGTTTGATCATCTCTTGTACACTTATCTCCTCTTCATGACATTGCTCTAAAATAAATTACGTCAGAAGATTGTTGAAATTTTGAGACAATTTGTATTAGTTAACGTCAGAATATATCTTTCCTTATATGATAAGCTTCCCCTTTACATTGCTGGATTCTTCCCCTACCTGATGGGTTTCCTTTTAGACTAGCTATGTCTTTTTGAAAACCTAAAGACCGCTTTAAAGTGTTCTCAAATAAAAACCATTTTCTTATTTGATACATTTGCATAATACTTTCAGAGTGTGACATAATCCATTTATTTTACCTTGGGTTCCTTTGGAGATTGCCTTTTGCTAAAAGTGGCTCTAGGGAATAAGAGACGGACCTGGGAGAGTAACATATCTCAGGGACACGTTACTGACCACTACCTTCTAGTGCATATTGAGAGCTTGATTCCACTGTCACTGTCAGAGGAGTTCTCAGACATGTTTCAAACTTTTTTGAAGAAAAGGGAAACCACTCATCTCCCACCTTCTTTTAGTTAAAGAATAATGAACTCCCAACACCTGTAGGTTTTGCATGTGTGACCATCAGGCTAACCTCCCAGTGTCACAGAATTCCTTAGGCCCTTTATAACTGCAGGAGCTTTATAAGTTAGCCCTGGTTGACACTGGCTGCTACCACTGTGGCTGAGGTAAAAGTTGGGCAGAGAGCAAAGGAAGTAGTATCCTAAGTTGTTAAATGTAAAACCGGTACTGAGCAGGCATCAATGTCAGAAATTTTGTGTGTGCAATCCTACTCTGCATTGCTAGTGACTGCATGATCTTGCACAAATAAATTTCTTTAGTTCTTTGAATCTGTATTTCTTCAAAAAAAACCCCAAAACAGCCCAAAGTAATATTGATTTAATAAATATAAATAAACTGAAATAAAAGAAAGCAAATTTATTTGTTTTAAATACAATAAATGCTGAAATAAAGTAATATCAGAGGTTTCTTGGTGTTTGGAGATAATTTAATTAGACTCAAAATAGTGAAATCAAGCATTTAATAGATGTTTCAAATAGAGTAACTATTATCCTAATGTATACATTTAACTTAATATTGACCACTTAAGAGCTACTTGAAATAAACTCAAGGAGTAATAAGCTATTTTTCCAGCAGTAGATACACAGTCTTCCTGAGAAGAAGCTGTTTCTCACTGTGCAAAGCAGGTTTCTACATTTTGCAGGTTTCTTTTGCCTGGAGAGTAATATCACATGGAGATGCTCTATTGCCTGAGAAAGGCTTTGGACATGCAAGAGCAGACATGTGTATAAACAAGGTAGCCCTTGTGAACACCCAGGGTGTGCAGTGGCCTTGTGGAATGTCAGTGCTACCACAAACAAGCATGACTTGGGTTGTAATAGAAGAGAAGTTGGATAGTGATGTGGTAATGATTCTTCCCAAACTAAAAACTCTATACAGGAAAGCCAGTCAACACTCCAGGCTGAAGAATTCTTTCATTTCAGAAAGGCAGAGTTATCAACATCCTCTCATGGGTGCAATGTGCAAACTTTAGCAATCGAGGCAAAAGATCTCAATAAAAATTTAAATAGAATTTTAAATGATAGTTGGTCCTCCCAGGAAGTAATAGATTCATTAGAACTTCACTAAGGCTTGTCCAATATAATGTCTAGGCACAAAGTCCATTG